CCTAAAATAGGTTTAAAAAGTAGCTGAAAAAGCTGAAATTAGCACAAAGAAACAGAGACCACATTTAATGAATTAAGCAGTAAGAAGTAATTACCACAAAAGGTGAAGTTAGCATAAAAAGCTAAAATTAAATAAAAAGTAGCAAAAACACAGAAAACAGCTGAAATTAGCGGAAAGCCTAAAAACAAAATAGTAGAATGGATCTAAAAAAGCAGAAAAGGTCACATTGATTTTAAAAAAGCTAAAAAGGCAGAAAAAAGCTACAATCAGCTAAATAGAAGCAGAAGGAAACTKAAATGAGTATTAAAGTGTTTAAAAACGCAAAACCAGAATGACAGGTGAAAAGTACAAAGATTTGTGAMTATTTTTTAAGGCTTTTAAGGATTTGAAGATGGCTCTATTCATTTTCAATGAAAAAAAAATCAGAAAAACCTATTTATCTCCAAACCTTTAAACTGCTGAAATACTAAAAGTCATAGCCGGAATGTCCTGAAGTAGCTGAATGTGTTATATAAATTGTTAAAGTAGAACAAAATTTGCAGAAAGAGATACGTGCTGAAAAACATGGAAGAAACATTGATCTCAATAATAGCTGTAGAAGCAACTCTGAGGTGTCACAAATATACATTTGATGTTTAAAAAAATTGTGAGCTTTTGTGTCTTTTTTTCAAGAAGGTTGTGAGCTTTTTTGTGAGTTTTTGTCCGTACACCGGATGGAACATGCTTTTTTCTTCCTGAACTTAGAGCGCTACACCAGACCGCAGAGCCACTAGTAATTTCCCTCCTGTTTGATCTATTAAGGTAAATAAGTCTTTACAATTGTACTTGAATAATTACTGTTAATGTAAGGCAGCATTGCAGGTATAAATCTGCCRCGCAGGACTCAATATGCAAGGGAGCAATCAATGCTTAATGAGCAGACAAATAGCATTTCAAGATCTTCTATATCAGCATTACAGTGAAAAAAGACAGTGCTGACTTTGGCTCATTAATCAATAAGCACAACAAGTCAACCTATATACTTGACACAGACTAATGAGACAATAATCATCTGCAGAAGAAGAAGAGGAAGAGCAGCAAACAGCAGCTGCATTTTGTTACAAGCAATAAGCAGCCATAAACAAATGGAAGAGCCTCGATCTTGCCGGACAAAATTATTGCTGTCTTGTTTACTTGCATCTCCCTGTTTGCTGAGAAAGTTAAATAAGTGTGCCTCATATATTTAGAGTCAAGCCGAGCTCACTTTGTGCTAAGCAGCTTGTCAATAACGGTAGGGAGAAAAAAAAGGTATGGGGTGAGAGAGAGGGGTCTGATAAAATGGCTCTTAAATACCAGACACTGACTGCTGGCCTTCCTCTTCAACTTTCCCCTCCCGGCTAAGTCAGGAGTTTGATTTCTGATAATGTGGATTGCTGACTGGGCTCCATCCTGGCCGGCCCTAAAGCAGAAGGACCTAGCGTCAAGCCCTGGGAGAGTATGTTTGACAAAGTGCCATATAGATTCCCTGTTTTTCATCAGAGGGCACTGCTGGTGGAGGCATTAATCAGAACGTTTGATAGCTCCGCTTTGTTTCTCCCCTTTTTACTCTCCTGTAACAATTAGACAAAGTAATAATTTCAGGCATTACATGGAAATCGATGGCTCTTTCACCCAGCTGTTGGTACAGGTGTAAATGATGAGATCGGCTCAAAASCGAGTCGATGCGATGAACTTGTAACCTTTTTCTGTAAAACGTTGATGTGTGGGGAAATAAAGGGCAAATGGGTAATTCATGTGTCCCTTTTCGATGTTTTCCTTGCTGCCTAAGAGAGATGAAAACAACTGGTAGAAAAGTTCAACCTCGGGCCAAACAGGGGTGGAGACGGTTGTTTTGTAAGCCACTGAAACCAAACCTTACCACGGTGGCTGGCACTGTATATGCTCCCAAGGATAGAGTTTCAAGTGCCACATCTCTGCTCGGGCTGAGCGCTGGGAAGACAGGGYAAAGCTTTAACAAGTTCTTATCGTTACACATAACCCAGGTCAACAGACTCTGGTGTCAGATCTGGGAACTCTGCTGTAAATTAACAAAAAATGAGACTTCTCATTGTCCAGAAATCAATCTCTTGTTCCTAGAATTGCAATCAGAGCTGCTCCTCAATCACAGGGCCTTAATCAACGACAACTTTAAGCGCTTCTTGATTTTACTTTTAAATGTACGAAAACTAACAGCTGAAGCTCAAAAACATTTAAATGTTAATGCTGTGGTAATTGACATCTTTACTGCTGCACGTGCTCTGTGTCAGTGTTTTGAAATGCTTTGTGGTTTAAATCGGCTACTTTTGGTTTGTTGAAAAATACACGTAGTCTAAACTTTGACATCTGGCAACATTAAAGATTGAAAGCGTTTTGTTATTATAATGTAAAATACCAATTAAAGTAATTTATAAGTACATTTGTACATAATGTTCAATATAAATGCAGGTGTAAAAGATCAAAAGCCTAGAAATGAATGCTGGACACATGTTATCCAATTTTAAGCATGCATATTAGTAACGGTTAAAAAGGTCAATGACTAGGATAAGAAGTTAATATCTTTSGAAACACTTTTAAAGGAGAAGTTTCAGAACTTCATGTTTTATTGACTGGGTGGCTCAGTTGGTAGAGCTGATGCCTCACACAGCAATAAGGTTGCCAGATCGAATCCTGGCCCGGGGACCTTTCTGGGTGGAGTTTGTGTGGTTTCTTTGTGGGTATGTGAGTTTTCCGGCTTACTCCCAGACCAAAAACATGACTGTTAGGCTAATTGGTAACTCTAAATTGTCCCTAGGTGTGAGTGAGAGAGTGAAAAGTTGTGATGGACTCATGACCTGTCCAGGGTGTGCCCCGCTCATCGCACCGTGACTGCTGGATATGGGCACAGTGACGCTGAAAGGAAGAAGCAAGTAATTATTGAATGTACAGCTACAGCTCATAAACTTATGAAGTTAACCTAATTCAAGATGGCCGCCGCAGCTGTTTGTTCACTTCAACATTTTAAATATAGCATAATATATTCTAAACATTAGCAATCACTTTACTTTTTATGAATTGTCTTTGGATTTGTATTGAGCATTCTGTGATTAAAATGGTTTTCAGAAATTCAAAGAACAATACAATATTT